TAGCTTTCCACTAGGGGGTGTAGTTCAATAACAGAGGGAGAGCCAAGTGTATTGGAGACCATATGTTGCCTGTTTAACCAATACATTTTGATGACAAGACATTCCATGGTGATCTAATTCAAGAGCTACATACTAGCCCATCTTCACGCTTCATTGCCACTTCAGTAAATTTCAGTAAAATAGTATATACTTCTGCATAATATGAGTAGATCAAGCCAGTGATCAGATGTTGCTTCTGAGGCTCATTATTAGCCCTGAGATGTCTCATGGGAGGTTCTCCTCCTCCAGGAACTTCCTTCAGTAAACCGGGGTCTGGCCACCACTGCAGGGTTTGTTTGGAGAAGGGCCTCCGTCAGCAGGGCTCTCGGCCATGTCCGAGCTCCTGTATAAAGCAACATCCTGTGCAGGCAAGCAAGTGCAGGGACTGACCCAGGGAGCCAGTCAGGGGCTGTGAAGGAGTGAGATGATAAAGGAAGGCTGGAGATTTTGAGGTAGAGCAGAATCCCATTCTTTAAGGCAGTGTCTCGCAATCCGGTCCTTGGGGACCCATAGTCAGTCCACGTTTTTGCTCCATCTGAGCTTCCTGCCACACAGTCCAGACCTACCAGGACATGGAGGGAGCAAATATGTGGACTGTCCATTGGTCCCCATATCCCATGGAAGGTCTTGTGTCTCAGCTAAGCTACACACCACCAAACATTGCTTTAGTTGCATCAGTCGATTCTCCTTTCCCACTGCAGTTACAACACAGTTGGGAAATAATGGATCATTTCATAACCCGACACAGAATCATATTTGGCAGAAGTTACGATAAAATCACTTTATATACTGTATGTACATGGCATGAGCACCTCAGTCAAAACCTTAACAGCCTCCACTGAAAACTCTTCATAAGAGAGAGTCCTATAGGGATGACACTGAAAATTTCCCTTCAGTTTGTAGGACTGGAAGTCTGGACCACTTACATGATCAAAAATATAATAAAAAAGGTGATGGAAAACTGCGTCTCATATTTCTTTTATCTTTTGAATGCAAAGCATTTTCGAGGTCACTGCCCTTGATACATTTATAAAATAACCAGCACTGCTAGTCACATATCACTGGTAAGAAAACTTCTTAGCTGGCTTTTAAATGTATAACAAACTGTATCGCTGGTTTACAAAACAAAGATCGGCATTTTATCATCGTCCAGAGCAGAAGTAGTGCACTGGCATTCTCTGCTCTTCTGTGTAGTTGTATACATGTCAGCATACTACACAAAGAATACATTCTACATCTGGACATTTGTTTGAATTTGTCTCAATAAATAAAAGATTTGATTATCATCACGTAGAGGATATTCATTAAAATCTGGAAAAAGTAACAGAAGACATAACAAAAGGTTTATAAAAATACAGCTATTTTGAGTGTAGAGAAGTGCAAGTAGTGCCTCACAGAGACTTCGAAACACCATGTTCTTACTGTGATAACTACCACTCCTGCAGGGGGCTGACAAAGCGGACGTCTCAGCATCATTTAATTATGAATCAAAACACCACAAACGCAAGTCGGACAGCAAAATGGCTATCAGTGGAGTTCAGCGGAAATTCTTTGGACATCCCGAGGTGTGGCTACATTTGGGAATGAGTTCTACAAATTCACACTACTTTTAAAATTGAAAAAAATGCTCATCCCGTATTGCTCAATCAGGGTACTGATAACCCAAGTGGAGTGAGTAATATTACTGGGGGGGGGGACGGTTAGCAGTGAAGAACAAGTTTCTTGCTGACTAACACGCATTGACCCTTATTTTTAGAGCCCGGTGTTTATTATTCGCCTAAAGGTTTGTGTTTGCATGTGTATGTGTGTGTGTGGGGGGGGGGGAATTGGTACTGGAAGATCACTGTTAATTTCCGCCACAACCAAAATAAGAAATACAAGAAAAACACAAAAACTGAATTGCGACCTCTCTACCAAGAAACGTCCCTTTGTGTGTAGGGGTGAAACTCACCCCTTCATCTAACATCCAGCCAGAAGTGGTCTCTGCACACACGGAATTTATGCCTTTCATAACTATCTGATTCGGTACGCCAAGCTAAATATTTCTGCGAATACAGAACCGGGCTGCTGAAGGCAATGGCTGGCCTATGGGAATTATGGCTCTGATGGGGCAGCGTGAAACCGCACGCAAGGCCTGCATGATGTGGGAGCTCAGCGAAGAGACACACTCAACTGGGCACGATCATCGCAACAGGCTAAGCATTGCTATGCTAGACCTGGATTTTTCCCCATTAAGCTCCGTGGAAAATGCTTAGTAAGACCTGGTCAGGCAGGCCACCGCAGTGTTAAGCTCCGAGTGTCATTGCACCAAAAGGCGCAGCTGAATCTTTATAAAAAGCAAATCAACCTTGCGAGCACCTCCTCAATGACGACTTTGAAATCTCAGAATCATAAGTCAACCTGACAGGCTGTAATAAGTGATTTTTCCAAATCAATAAAACTCAGGACACATCCTGAATAAGGAATTCATGGGCCAGTTTTGCAAGCCAAGGGTGGGACCACATTCAAGGCCCAGCTAGTCAATGCCAGTTGGGTCAGCATCTACAGAAACTTACATAGGCTTTAGTTTGGGTCCAGTCAAGAGACTCTGGTTTATACGTAGGAGAGAAACAGGATGGCAACGGCCTATTCCCAAAATATGGGGATAGAAACACCATCTACAAAATAGGACAGGCCAACTAGGGCAGATATGCCTTTGGATATGGGTGGTGCAACTGAAGTGACCAGGCAGTAAGTTGTCTTCAGACTTCTGGGTTTTTTCCACATTGACATTAACAAGAAAACTACAGTTATAATTACATGTTGGGGGTTGAGAGAAAAACCGAACAATCTTTTTCAGAGCTATCTACCAGGCAAGGCGCCTCTCAACTAGCAATCAGCACCAGACCTAAACAGAGTCTAGGCCACCATCCAGCAACTTGCACTCCACAGAAATGCAATGAGACATTCATGTTATGTAGCTTTCATAGGGTCCAATGGAAGCTTAATGACTGAAAAAGTCAACAGCCAGCTAGTTTACAACTTAACTGCAGCCTATTAGCCAAGACATTTATCATCCCTGAAAAATCCTTAATCAACGAAACCGCTCAGACCTCAGAGACATCACAGATGTTCCATTTGAGGTTCCTCCCGCTGACAGAGTGAGCTCTCCGATGCTGTTAGGGTGGCACATTGCAGAACGTTCAGTTAGAACCACACCAACCGCAGAGAGCTGACCATGGAAAGCTGGAACGAGCCAACAGAACTAGAACTCCAAGCACTACTTCAAAGACCAGCCACTTGGATTGTTACACTTTGCATGAAATAACACAAATGACAAAATGAAAAGGGGAGGGTCGGCAATTCTTTAAGCTAAACCCACTGATTCAATACAAACTGAAAGGGACACCACAATCAGCTGAGCACAAACTTTAAATCAATTTTGCTGCTGAAGCTGCCCCCATTCAAGCATCTGAATGAAAACTGCAAGGTCTTCAATTCCTTGAGTCAGTGATGGGATCCTCTTCAGCAATTCAGACATGCATGAACCATCTGCTCCGTTATCACACCTCTCTGGCTGGAGAACCAGAAGGCCTAAAGCATGTATGTTCTGGTGAAGGATCAGCAGTTACCATGTACATAAGGTATACAAACAAGTGGAAGTGTCACATATAAAACTTTAATGCAGGTGTTTGAAGGTAATGGCACTTGCGTGCCACCTGCACTTCCCAAAAGCTGATTGCTTCATCTGGCAGTAGTGGGAGGAAGGAAATTAACTGACAAATACTTGTACTATTTTATTCACTATGCATCACCTTGGGCAAAAATTAAAATGTATTATATGAAGGATGGGGGTTTCACCCACAGAAAGTCCAAATATCACAGCAGGTAATACGTTTCATTGGTTAAGCTATAGGGTGTCTCACCTGAGCTCATCATCATTCGAGTGAAGGCTGCGCCCTATTTATTATGCAACATTTTTACCTCCATTAAAATACTCGGAGTTTGCATTTTAAAAATAACCAAGCGAAATTAACAGCTCACGCACTCTCAGGAATCATGATCACAAACCCCTGTAGAGAACTTTGAGGAAGGGAGAGGCATCAGTGACATCCTACAGAGAAGTCATAAGCAATTAAAAGCAGATTTTTAATAGACTTTAATTAAGTAGCATTACAAGTGAACACAGAAAAAAAAATTAAGAACCTCCCCCAAAGGATAAAGTGACCAGCTTTCATCATAATTGACTGCAAACCTGCATATACACATCCTAAAGCGCGTTTATATCCAGACACTTCTAAACCAACACCCAGAAGCACATTCCTGTGCAGGACAAAGAAGCGGCGTCACACGGGCGGGTGCCGGCAGGTCGGATCTCATACACGGCAGCAAGTGTCGCCTGGACTTAAATCCATGAGGGTGGACAGTTTGAGGAAGAGGCAGTAGTTTGACATGATGAGGAAGGTCGGCGCAGCAATACGGAAAGACTCGCATTTTAAGACCTATGGATGCTACGGCCGTCAGACGCACTTGGCAAACTCAAAACAGTGATCAGCTGCTGCCAGTGAGAGACCATCATGTCAAACTGCTAAAAACTGCTTGATTTGTTAGCACAAAAAAAAACAAAAAAAAACAAAAAGCAAGCAGCTTGAACAAAAAACAAAACGAAACAAAAAACAAACCCAAATGAGTAGTCCCAGGCAACAGCTCTTATTGATGTGCACAGTATTTCCAAGTGTAAAGGAGGCTGGGCACAGAACGTCCGAGCTGTCCATCAGATCCTGAAGATCTCACAGTTTCAGCGTTCACAGGTGACATGGGGAAGCCATCTCTCCTGACCGCTGACGTCCTGTTTCTTCAGAAAAGACAGGGCAAGGTGGGAGGTTGAGGGGGCTAGTGGGGGCAACCTGTATCTCCGGTGAAAGCAATTTGGACATCAGATGTGGTTAGGAGGTGTGATGGGTGGGGGAAGGGGGGGGGGGGGGGGGGGGGGGGGGGGGGGGGGGGGCGTCTGCGAGAAGGATGAATTCTGGCAGTGTTCTCAGGACAGCGAGCCCTACAGCAGGTCGAGGCGGCGATAGTAGAGCAGGTAGGCGGTGCGCTCCACACTCTGCTTCAGCACGTGGTACTGGGCGATGACCTCCACTGCCTGGTCGTCGATGCGAAGCCAGCCATTCAGGCCGATGTGGAAGACGTCAGTGGTGTAGTGGCCACCGGTGGCACTGTTCCCATGGTGATAGACGACTTGGGAGGACAGAAACAAAAGAGGATGTTGGAAACCTTGACCTTTAAAAGGACATTTTCATATTTCACCCCCACGCCCCACTGAGCACGGTGGCCTAGGTATGAGGGACATTAGGCAGGGGCCACTCATGCCAGCCAGGCCCCACGAGAAGATGGCACCCTGGTCTCAGTGGAGCATGCAGTTCAGAGCCACCGTTGACACTGGGCTTAAAGGCCCCGCAGTCAGCATAAAAAATAATGCGAGTCCGCAGGCTTAAAAAGAATATCCCTTAACCTGTTTTCAGCCAATTTAAAAAGCTCAGAGAACTCATCCATAAAATTTCCCAGATGAACAATGCTAGCAGCTGGCCATACTATGGTCTGGCCTGGAGACAGACCAGTGGCCTGTACTATGAAGTGGGGTTGCTGGCTTATCGGGGTAACTTGTCGGATTTAAGGTACCTCAAGGCTTCGCAGTGCAGGCCACAGGACAGGCAAAGGAACATCGAAGCATACGTGTACGTGGATGTGAATGTAAACACACTGCTGTTTTTGTATATTTTAAACATACAGCTTTATTTTCAAAGTGTCATTGTCATCACCTGTCCCTATACTTAAGAGGTCCGTTTCAATTAAAATCTGATAAGGGAGCACGCAGTTCACATCGCCTCACACGGCCCCAGACGGACACGGGAGTATCTGCAGCCTCGAAAACAGCACTTAAGTGGTTTTACTGGGAAAATTAAATCAGCAACAGCGCCAAGAATAGTGAAGTTCATTTGGCAAAAAGAGATGCAAACCAATAATTCCCCTAGAACATCACCACGCTTGCATATGGAACGCTGCATGCTTGCTTTCAACTTCAACCATGTCAAATGGGAGAGCTAATTTGGCAGATTGATCAGCTAGGACCAGATGGAAGTTCAAGAACATGGAATATCAATTACAACAGCTGCAGACTGGTGATATTCTTCCATTCAGGGAAAAGACACACATTAGCTCAAAGCTAATGGGACAAGTTACTAGTCACAGTGAAATGAGTCAGCAGGTAGATCTCAAACTCTCCCGTTACTCATAGAGGTTTATTTCTAGGAAAAGCAGGATGAAGGCAGCATAGGTCAAAAGGAAACATCTTGTACTGCAGCCCATGGCAAACATGCGAGAGGTCCGTTTTTAACGTCATCAGATGTGAATATTTAAAAGTGTTTTTAAGGGATCTGAACTCCCAGCTAAGATGGACACCGATTCGAGAGACACACGAAGTGGTTACCCCACTGAACCCTTATCAAGACACATGAAGTTACATTACCTGCAAAAAGCCTGTATGTTCTTTGGCCTTTGAAAATTTTGTTCCGCACCCCAGGTGAAAGAAGATCTGAAAGAAGGATCTTTATTAATAAACACGTCAAAACAAATCAAACCCAAGGAGTGTTTGCACTCAAAAACAGGATTAATGACAGCCTCCATAACGATCAGCTTATAAAACACTAAATGAAAACCAGCCTGTCTGGTTTAAATGTAGCACAAAGGGGTTCTAGCCCAGTAAGTAGCAGCCCACTACCAGCACTGCAACCCAAACAGGACAGAGCTGGGTTTTCAACAAGGCGTCCACAAGCTCCCTCCAATGTTTGTTTCTACCATTTGGCCAATGTCAATGCCAGAAGGGAGAGGGAAGCACAGATTAGTGTTTACTTGGGGGGGGGGGGGCTGGGCTGGGTTTGGGTGACGCGGGCTGAGCTTTGCCAGGCGGCAGACATACTATCATACGAGAAGCACAGTTGTACAGGAAAGTCGGCACATTGTGCCCAAACGACGTCTTGACACACTAGGCGTGTACATTTACCCCTTTAGGCAGAGAATTGCTTACTTTTCCCCTCCATGGATTTAGGTATACACAGCAAAATGTAATGCGACCTTGCTTATTACGTTTTCGACTTGGCAAATGCGAAAACAAGATCTGACACAGAGAGCACATGAAAAGGCACTGTGCATGCAGGGCATGTACCCATCAAGAGATACACATCAACTGGACCCGAGAGCTTGGTTGCATGCAATTTGAGTAACATACAAGTAGCTCTATGCTGTCCATATGAGGACAGCCGCTGGTGAAGCACTTTCAATCATTCTGGCCAACACTAACTTTTGTTTCAAAGGTTGATTTCAGCCTGAATGCAGCTGCTATAACATACAGCTGCTATAACATACAGCTTACAGCGACGAATACTGACAATTCTACTGCCAAGACCGCAGGAAGGTGGAGAAATCTGCTGTCAGATGAGGAATGTCAGTATTGGATTTGCAGACGATGCCCATGGAGAGCATGCTGGGAGTATATACCTTTGCTGATCTCCAGGTCTATGGGGTACTCGATATTCTTCACCAGCTTCTGACAGCCCCCCGTCTTCTCAAACACGAACCTCTTCAGATGGAGAACCAGCACCGGGGGGAGCTCCTCCAGGGTCACCCTGCGGCTTATCTCGACCTGAAAGCAGCAACAGAATGAGAACAGGTCACACGGCCAACCAACGAAAGCAGCTTCTCCTCAACAATCCCAGCACACACAACTCTGGCTCAACTCCCAGAAGCAATTTACTCATTACCACTGGGACAGACATCAAATAGTGGCTGAGGCCGCAACAACGGCTGATGACAGTAAAATAATCCTTTAAATGCTGATCCACAAACCAGGCTGATCCAAGTGGACCATCCACCGATAAACTGTCCAGATTATCAATAGGTTTATGAAAGGTTAATGCTTGTAATAACTGATATGGGGAGGACAAAAACTGTTCTGGTCAACAGATGTTCCTTTCAACTACAAAAGCATTTTCTTCAGAGACATCAGCTTGAAGTGACGGGCCCTTGACCCTAGAATGCCCAACGAGGATGCAATACCGTAACAGTCCACAAGGAGGGAGCAGCGAGCACAGGGCCGCAGAGCTACCCTGACTAAGACAGGTCAACCAATCAGACAGTCTGACTGCCACAACATACAACGAAAGGAGAGAACCACCTCAGGAGACAACCACAGTATGAGTAGCACATGCACTTCATGGGAGAGATTTACAAACAAACTCTAAACACAGACGGGTTTGAAATCTGCACCGCAGACGTTTGCAATATTTTTGTCTTCAGCTGAACCAAGTGGGGATTCATGCCTCACTTTGACCACATTATTTTGGTCATATTCTGGCAGAGAAGCATGACAACTGAAGGAAAGTCATCAGAAATGTGGCCATCAGACGACACCCAGAAAGTCCCCTCCTGGGCCCGTCAGCGTCTGCCCACCTCCTGCTTGCTTTTGGAGGTGTAACCCTGGACCGACTCGCGCGCCACTAGACTCTCCAGCGCCTCCTGCACAGTGCGGATCTTCTCAGACTGGATGTCTAGTTGCAGGGTGAAGAAGGGCTGCAGCGTGGCCGACTCCTTGGAGCTCTGCTGGTACACCACCGACCTGCGGTGGAGAGGAGAGGGGGGTGGGGACACATGTCAGCATTACATGCGTTTCTGCAAACCCCAACAGCCAACAGCTGGGTGGCGTATCACCGCCAAAATGTCTTTTGAGCAGAAAAAAAACATTCCCATAAACCATCGGTATGTATATACTGTCAGTCCATATCAACCTCTTTTCATAAGCAAGATCTAAGTTATACATAGCAACGAATCAATGAACCGAGACACTTCAGTTCAAGCCAAGGACACAGAAAAATGTTCGACCAGGTGAAGTGTTTCGCGCTTAAAAACGCAGGCGTTTGCGTAGAGGCTGCAATAAATTGAGATCTCGCTTGCAGACAGCATTAATAAGGAGAGATGACAATTTTAAAAAGCTCTATAGTCAATGACAGGGCTTATATGACCATTGGCTATTTGGGGGAAAAAAGACCTCAAGGGGGAGAAGGTGGACACACTTCTTCTGACCTTCAGCAGAATCATTCTCCCTTTTGGGGTCGTACATACAGATGTTACTTTACCCAGCTTCAAAACATCCCCTATACAATTTGTAACCAGTTTCAGCAACGAAGACCGTCCAACCCTAACGCAGGACGTTACTACACAGGCTGGTTTGTTTAGACTGGTTTTGGACCAGACTCTGCTCACGCGCCCCCATGGCCAGACGTCCACCGCGGCTGCCTAATGACATGGCGGCGCATCACGGCACAGCACCCCATCTCTGAGGTTTCGGCACACAGGGGCCCACAGCACAACCCAGCCACTCCTATGGCTCCCCCCGTCATAGGCGCCACCGGACTGGGCCAAAGACATGGTGGGCCACCACATGTGAAAGGGGGAGCAGACAAGGGTGGAGCACTTCAGGAGAGTCCAAGAGGTCGACTGTCCCGATATGCTGACAGCCAGTGACTCCAACTCCTCCACCATCAGACAGAACATACAAGACCTGAGCAACACCAAGTGTGCTCTGCCAAGCCGGTTAGCCGCGCGCCAAAAGCAACCCCCACCTCATATGCCCGCCGAATATGTCCGTGATGGGAGTACGGACAAAGCCGGCCTGTCGTGTCACGGAGATCTTGTTCCGGGGGCCGACATGCTCCCACTCGTCTTCGCTGTCCTCTTTCCCAGAGGCCTCGGCTCCCTCTGGTCCTAACTGGGGTTCGGCGCCGTTTTGTGTGGGGGCTTCTGCACACGGCAACAAAGGTGGTCAGTTTAGAAGAAAGGCGTCATATTCAAATCATTACGGTAGCAAAAGAGATGAAAATTCCGTCATATTCAAATCATTACGGTAGCAAAAGAGATGATAATTCCGTCATATTCAAATCATTACGGTAGCAAAAGAGATAATTCTGTCATATTCAAATAATTACGGTAGCAAAACAGATGATAATTCTGTCATATTCAAATAATTACGGTAGCAAAACAGATGATAATTCCGTCATATTCATTGAAGAAAATGGCCTGCAGACAGTGTTATAACAAAGCACAGGGCAGTTACCAGCAGAGCTAACAGAGGCTTGGCTGTAACTAACCCAGTTCCTATTACACTACGAGGAAACCCATTCACCAGGTGGCCTTACTTTCTTCCTGTGGGGAGTGCAGCTTCTTCAGGGCCAGCATCTCCTCATGCAGACCGTTGAGGATGAAGCCCAGGTACTCCTCAGCATCCTCCTGTCGGCCCTGAAAGAAGGGGATGAAAGAGGAGACAATCCAGAAAACGCTGTATGACGATGCTAGCAAACTGTTTTTTTTTTTTTGCTGATTTGTTGACCAAGAAATAATTACCGGAAGAAAAATTGAGCAGATGGAATTATTTTTGCACCTCAGTTACATTTAATGCATGAATAAATACACTTTTTGCTTGCATCTCCATATTTCTGTATTGAAAATTCGATTGCTAACCAATATAACTTTTGTGTAATATTTCTCGTGCCAGCGTTGAAACTTGACAGCGGGATAAAGTTACATAATTTTTGTAAAGATAGATATGCTCGCCAGATTTAATAAGAATCATGAACATGTGAATCATGTAATTAAAATATAAATAAAAGGCTGTGCCTTGTTCTGATCGTGATCGATCCCCCCCAATAATTTTCAGCTAAAAAAAAAAAGACCTTTATCTTCTGTTTTTGGCATTGCAGTGTAGTTTCGTATGAAATTATTGCAAAGTTTACAAACTTTTCGCATCTCTTTTTGCTTATTTAGCATAAAGGTCCCAGTTCCCGCTCCTATGGTGTGAAAGGGACAAACAGTGGGCAGGAGCTACAAAAGTTCCAGGTCGTGACAGTCCAGGGGCTTGTAAACGGGACCAGGATCAAGAAATTCAGTGTGAAAGCGCCCAGTGGCTCAGCTCATAACAGCAGCAGAGTGCCTTTTACCTTCTCTGATAGACTTGATTTGATGACAGTCAGAAGTTTGTAGATGTAGTTTGGTTCAAAGGGAACCCCAGGTCGTAAGTCTTTCATTATCCTGTCCCCGGCAGCTATGCAAATGGCACAGATAAGGAAATCAGGATAAAGGAAGGTCAGACTTTTCCCCTTCGGTAGGAGAAAGACGGTTGAGAAATGCTACCACCACAGAAGCTAACCTTGCTGTTTGGCCTTGGAGGGAAAGGGCATGTTGCTGAACTCATTCACCAGCCGAACGCTGAAGGGGAGAAGAGAAATCTCAGAGAAAAGCACAGCCAAATGATCATGACGTGTGACTTAAACCGCCCATATTTCTACCAAAGCAACAATCATAAGAAAACACTGCATTGTTTTCATGACACAGTCACCGAACACCACAATTACACATCAGCAGCATTAAGATCGGCAATGTACAGACCAGGCAGGCACAATGCGTCATTGGCAACGCTGACTTGGCACACAGTCACCCTGAAAACAGATCTCACGCACAGCTGCGGTACTTACAAGTTGTCAATCATAGGAGTGGAGGTGCACTGCCGCTGACTGTCCTTTAACATGGAGATGGACTTCATCAAGTGGTACATGGGAGGGCAAGCGATCAGAGCCTGAAGGGTCTTGGGGCAAGGGTCAAAGGTCAAGGACTACACAGATTCAAACCAATCCCAGAAACCAGCTGTCAAAGTAAAACTGATGCCTGACAGCTGCTTCCAATACAAAGGTTGGCATACATTAGCACTCAAGAGAGCCAGTGAAATGGTCAGAGGCTAGATTCTTAAGCCCAAAGGATACAGCATTGATATAACACCAGTTCCCCTTGTTGATTAGTCCTCTGGGTTGTAATGACACAGGTTTGTGTATCAACTTCACATCCTCTATCAGCTCTAATGATTCGAAAGTAAACAGAGAAATCATCAGCATTATATACTTGGTTAAAATAATAAAAAAATATATTAAAATAGAGTGTGAATCAAAAGGATGAACACCGCAAGCTTGAATGTAGCACACAAAGTACGATTGCTATCTGGCTTTGTGGCCGGCGATGTCTCATGCTCTGGGACCTCTGTCCAGACCTAGGAGGCTGATTGGACAGAACGAAGGGGCGTGCTACCACGCATGGGAAGAGAAGCACTGCTCCCGCGGTAACATGCAGATGCGTCGATTTCCAACAAATTACAACAAAGGAAATAGAAGGGGTCAGTCAAATAAGCAAGCGTAAGCAAGTGAAGGAGCCAGATTTCGTGACTGACTGAAAGACCCCAATTCTAAAACTTGTACTAGTGAAGACACCAAGTTACTCCAGCAATGAAACAAAAAGTGTTTACATAAATGCCGTTTCAAGAAGCATTATCAGGGCCCCAGGAAGATGATAATATCAGGAGCAATCTTCTACAGATCAGTCATAACTCCTGGGGTAAGGGACTAAATCAGCAGTCACATGTGACTGATGAACAACTGCTTTCAGTAGCATAATCATAGCATCACATTGCTACAGTAGCAGTGGGCTGCACGACGTAATACTATTACACAGCGGACAATAGTGCTCTTTGAGGGCAGAGGTGGGGGAGGGGTTGCGGCTCCCACAGAGCCACACCGTTTGATCTTCTTGTGGGGAAATAAAAGGGCGGACATTATGCAAGGAATTCTGTGACCATAATTCACATACACTCCACAGTTTTGGTGTTTTAGCACCACCTAGTGTGCCCCTTCCTCCTCTGAGAGGCTTGCACAACAGGTTACAGCTTAACATCAACCATACCCACAATTTCCAAATCGTTCCCTTACCCGTTCATTTCACCCTGAAGCTAAAGTATACTAAGGAGCTAACACAAGTCAAGGATGCTACTGCCACCTAGTGGCACATAAAATGCTTGCAAAAAAGAGCCCTATAAATTTTGCTTTGCATCTGCCATTAAGTCAACAAAGTTTCAAAGAATTAACATTCTAATAAGTGGCACCCAACAGATTAATTTCTTTAACCATTAAATACACATTTTAAAATGAATACTTTGTTCAAAATGGGTCATTCATTCCCACTATATAGCAAGTCAGGTTTGCTCTTGAGAATTCAAACACCACATGATAAACTACATACACTCCACTATTTCTGTAAAGGGGAGTGAATCCAAAACAGCCTCAGTGTTTGGCATTTATCAGCACATTTAACAGAAATGTTTGTTCATGAGGAAAATTACTTGAATTATGACACTATCACCCTCCTCAAAGACACTGGCAAATCAATATATTCACTGTATTCAACAATATTTATATTACAAGCTGAAACTTTAATTTGAAGCACAAAACAAGCGCTGAATCAAATATCTAAGAAAATCAGAAAAAGCAGTTTCATATTATCTGGGCTTGGCCACAGCAGGCAGATACCTCCTGAACTGCTGGAATTGACCTGAATGCCTTAATTACACCATCTTTTCCCTTTGCTTAACTGAGCATGTGTTACCGATTGCTGCTCACATTCAGGAATGACAAACTTTCACCTATGATACAGAAACCGTGGACCTTCAAGTTAACATAAATGGGCTCCCAAAAGTCACATCAGTTAATTCTGAACGTCTGACATTGACTTCTGTACTTAAACCAGGGTTATGTCACTGATATTCAAAACATGGAAATCTCAAAAGTGGAAAGTAATTCAATTACCTACAATTCTGAATGCCATAAATTAAGTGAATAAAATCTGGCTTCAAGCAAGTGTTTCACTGGCAATTTGTTTAAGAGGGATCAGATTTATTATCCAGAAAGAAGCTCATTTTCATGAATCTAAAAAGGAATGAGCCATGCTGTTCTGAAGGTCATGCATCTTCGGCCCTTAAGGGTTAACACATATTTAAAATGTGTCTTCACCGATCAGACCATAAGTGGACACCCAAGAGACATCACTCTTTATACGTGTGTCCATTATGCTCCTCCAAGGTTTCCAGCTAACTACTTCAAATTTCGTTGTTGCTCTGCACACGGTTGTGATGTGCTTCTCGGGGACGCACTGGGACATGTTCGTCTTTATGCTACAAATGATATGTGGTCAAATGCGTCCCAGACCACATCAGCAAGTAGTTTGGATGATTGGATCACAAAGCGTCTTGGTGGTCGTTTACATTTATATCGAGAGGACTTTCGATCACCCAAGATGCATTTTGAAACCAAATGTAAACAGGGCATTACATTCTGTCTCAGATCATTAGGCTGATACAAAACAAAACGAGGTGGACAATTCCCCAGAAGAAACTGCCAGCAAACAGAAAAGGTCTGCGCATTACTGGAAATGATCAGAAAACCGATTTGGCTGTGGATACATAAATGCAGCCTGAATTATTATTCTCAAACACTATTCTAAAATTCTTGAAAACAGACTGGATGAGAAGAATCGTTAAGATCCAGAGCAAGCATTAGTGAATTCACATTAACACATGCCAAGAACGATGCACACTCAGGCAAATCCACATATCAACAGTATCAAACCATCAAAATTCCAAAATATGTGAATATTCCAAGAAATAACTTCTGAATCAGCCTTCAGGAAGTGAAAAAGTTTGACAACCAGCAAGGACTCACTGACTGCTCTGGATCAGCAGCCACACTTGTTACAATTTACCTGCAAGTCTGGGGGCAAGAGGATCTTCTGACACATGAACTGGGCCCTCCTTCAACTCCCCCAACTTCTCAGGGGTCTGAGGGGTAGACAGAATAGTGGGAGCAACAGGTGATATGTCTCTGGGCTCCGCCTCTGCCTGCGAGCTCCCAGACGGGGGCTTAGGGCTGTGAAAGAGACTAGCCCAGGACTTAAGTGGCTGAACAGTGGAAGCCACAGGGAGAGTTGGGGGAGTAGGGGAGGGCAGCTCTGCATCCTGGTCCGTGGGGGACAAGGTCAGGTGCTGGACCAATGGCAGGGCCTCCCCAGTCTCAGAGGAGTCCTTCTGTCCATCGGCGCCACTGCCGACATCCGTCAGCCCATTCACGACCCCACTGTCACTACGGTCTTCGGCCTCTGCAAGGTGTCTGGTGCTGGGACTAACGGCAGGGGCAGAAGGTGGCAGCAGAGAAGTGGGGCTGGTGCTGGGCTGCCCATTGTCCAGCACCACCGGGCTCTCAGGCCGCGGCTCAGGAGTCCTTCCCCGTTCAGCCCCCCCGCCGCCGCAATGCGAGGAAGAATGAACTGCGTTTCTGTCCGACAAAGATGTGACCACGCCCCTTTCGTCCAAAGAGGGATCATCTGGGCTTTCGCAAGTCCTCTGGTCATTGACGAGGGCTGAATCGGGGAAACCGGGTCCCGGTCTGCCCTGTGGAAGCGAGACTGCCAGTGCTACAGGGCTAACCAAGTCCTCAGAGCAAAGATCAGGGGCATTTGGGGAGTGGCCGTTCACAAGCACTATCCCCAGCGGAGTCTCAGGAAGAGCTGTGGGGTCTTCTGGGCCCTCCAGGTAGTTGTAATATCCCGGAGGTCGTTTCTTCTTCTTTTTGCGCTCCCGCTGCCCGAGGCCACCCACTGCCCCATCCAGGTCCGGGCAGGCCTGGCCGCCATCCAGTGATGGCACCTCGGATCCTGGGCCCTGGGAGTCGCCGTTCGTGCAGTCAGACTCGTCAGCAGCTGGCGGGAGTTTCGGTGCGGTTTGGCAGGCAAGGATGAACTCTGGAGCTTGGGGGTTCAGGGTGCTGGAGACCTGGAGCTTGGAATCCTTCACCCCAGCAGGTCCATCATCCATGACGTCTCCCACACCGAATTCAATGTGCTGGAATTCATCCCCTACACAGAACAAATGTCGATGAGCTCAAGAACACCCGGGTGTGGTGCACATAAGCAGAAAGACCTGTCTCAAAGCAAACATTGCATCCATATTAAATATTCAGACAACAGCAGATTTAACCAAGCTGGGACTGCACCAAGACTCATAAAATCAAAATGCTTTCAGATTTCAGGCAACTGAACAGAATTACACTGCGAACCTTCAAATGCAGTCGTTTTAACATTATTGCAAAGGGTGGGCATTGAATGGGCACATAAGCCGCAGAAAAGGATGATCATAAACCCAATGGTAAGGATAAATTCACCACTGACATTCTGTTTTGTATGCTGATGGTTGCATGACGAGGCTAATAACTACAGATGCACTTCTGAATCAAATAATTACCATGTCAGGTAAAAAATAAACATGCATTTAAAAATGAGCCATTTTAATAATCACAGAGCTTGTCAAGTGCCAGTTTCTTTTAAATGAAGAATTTTAAATCTAAAAATCTGACCCACACACTAACATCCCTTCCTTATTTTGTAATACAAGAAGCAGATAAGCCCCCCATTAGCAACAAAAATTGCTGTGTGAGAGACCAGATCCTTGTGGGAGGTGTCAGAAATGAGCCAATAGGACCAGCAGCCAGGTGCACACAGCCTACATGCGTTACGAGATGCTCACCTTGCTGGCAGGGAAAGATTTTGCAATGTTTTGCCATGTAGTGAACTTGAAATGGACCGAAACCCACCCGACTAGCAGAACAAGTAAGAGCACATGCAGATGCAGCGTTAGTAAAGGCAGGCCAGACTGCATTCTGTGTCACAGGGGCATATATCTCTGGTTCTTACCAGAAAAGACAATAGACACCCTCAAGAAGAACGCAGCGTTTCCCCCAAAAGTTTTAGGGCTCAAGTTTTAATGCAAACCTTCACAGGGTTGAAAGGCAACAGACTTTTTTTTTTGTAAGTGCTGAAGACCTCACCAAAAACAAGACACATTTGAGAGAACAAAGGACAAGGAATAAACGTCTGTCCCAACAGAAAAGCATTTGACACACAGCAAATAGTGTTAATTAGCGCTGAAAACAGTGTCCACCCCCGGGGGTAACACTTTAGAGGCAGAGTTGGTTACCACACTTTTTTTCAGTAGGGAACCAGGAAAATGCAAAGTTGAGTAAAGCTGGTGGCCAAAAAAGCTTAAAGATTTAAAATGCACTGAAACATGCGAAGCCTTGCAAGTCTTAAGACAGGAATGAGATTAGAAGGCAGTGAGACACCCAGGACGACACCTGGGCTGGGACTCTGCAGGGAGGGAGGGGGGATCCACATGGACCCATAACTCACCGCAGACCTGCAGTCTCATAGTTTCCGTAAGGAATGGCACAGCAGGAGTACAGAAACTTCCTAAATGATTAATAACAAACTGGGATAAATGTGCAGCACAGAAAGCATGGAAAGGCGAAAACTTTAACACTAGAAAAACTGGGCTTTTAGAATAGCTGAGGTCATAGGAGTCATTTTGGCAGAGGCCCCTTTCGAAAAAGGAACAGACAGATCTTGCCAAATATGGTAACAGACAGCAGCTTAGGGCTGCAGTGCTGAGCGCAGCCTGAACACAGTTTTCAGAAAGCACACACGCCACAGGGGTTGGGCAGCCGTTCCCAGGCACAGGGCGGACAAATCCTAGAAGTTTAAAAGGCGCCGCCCAGCCAACAGTGCAGACCAATGATACACCAAGGCGGCCCCTCCTGGACCAATTGCAAAGAGAGAAAGTCAAAAAAAAAACAAAACCGATCCAACCAGCTGGGCCCTTACCTGAGGATTGAGATGCACAAGAGACTTTGTCATTGAATGGGGGAAGCTGTGAAAACAAGGGGGAAAAAAATCAAACATTTAATAGCAATGCACCAAGCTCAGCAATGCATGAGAGACACATGGTACACCTCACACAGCCCAGGGTGCACTGAGTAATGTGATACTTTACTCACGGCTGTTTACTTGGCTTTAAATCACACATTGTTTCACCAACACAGATGAGACTCTGAATGGGCAATTTAAATGTAGCAATTTGGGACTGAAAGCCATTATTTAAAATCCATGCAGCAAACCTGAATGCAAAAACAACCTCGGCGGCCGATTTTACCTCAACAAAACAGCGAGGAGTTACGAAGAACTGTTTGAACTCATCGGGACTGAATTCCCCAAAGATGTACTGGGAAAAAGAAAAAGAAAAATTAGCTCTTGTATCACTGGAACAGTGCAGCGATTAGTGCTTGATAAGGAAATAACCCACACAGCCACTCGAAATGTCACAAGGGGAAAAAAACTAATGCTGTCTTCACGCTAAAAGGTCACTGACACAGACACTGAGGAGTAAATCAACACTGACAGCTGGTAAAAGGTTTGACAAGTTCAGTCATCTGCTTAGTGAAGGCACATATAACCAGACAGACTTGCCCTTTACTTTGGCTGGATAACAATGTACAAGAATGTTTGCAAAATAGTGCCATAAAAAGATGTACAGCACACTTACTGATATGTAAAGTTATACTAAAAATAAGAATTTTCGGCATCAAGTTAACAAAATTACCTAGTTGGGCATGGCAGGTCTCACTGAGCAATGACAAACCGACACTTTTTTAGCATTAAATTTCCAAACTCCCGTAATGCAAACAGAACCTAACTAGGAATAGTCCAGTAATGTACTGAATACTGTGGCAAACTAAATAGACAATGAACTTTGTCTACACATTCCACTTCCTGCCTTGTGATCATTTGCGCAGAAGGTCAAATAGGCAGAAGCTCTGTTTTTAATTAGATAGGCTTAATGGGAAGGTCTTAATTAGCAGCCCTAAGGCAGCCATGTCCCCAGTGTACCAAAACAAGCCTGGAAGCATCCCATTAACAAGCTAAGATGAAAAGAAAACATAAAAAAAAAAGTTAATGTTTGACGTATAACTGACCAGATCTCATTTTATGCATTTAAAAAACAAAACAAAAACAAAAAAAAAAACTTCCAAACACAAGAAATTAAGAAATTTAACCATCCACTTCCAAAGAGCATGCATTTTACAGTTAAATGGTAAAATCCTGTCACTAGCTAACATGCCACAGCCAATAAGCTGATTACATCTCAAATCTTAGCTTCTAAAGCCATTCTGTTGGGTGAATTTGCACTGAACTGCACAGTTAATAAATTCTCTTATTGTATAATAGAGCCATCACAATTACTCAATTATTACAAAGCACCGATTAAAAATTCTCTCTCGATTTCACAGAAACATGCAGGAAGGAAGATGGCACATTGTCTAAAAGAGCGAAATCATTTGTACGGAACTGCAAGCGCATGAAATGCAACTGCGATATTAAAAAAAAAAAAATCGCACACTGTGCAAACAAAGGCATGCATGGTGGCTCAGTGGTGTTGTTGCATAATGTTCACCATGTTTGTTTGTGTATGTGTGTGTGTTAAAACATGCACCTTGAGTGAATTGGAATGTATGACTGATTAGGCACCCCGTAATGGCTGGTTGCTTCCTGCCTCACGGCAGTTGAAATTCACATCATATTATATGTAAATGATAACTACTGATTTAATATGAATTGAGTATACTCAACTGACAATCGATAGTGACAGGCCTACTGCGTAATACAACATGACAATAGACAGATCTGGGTACAATACTGTGGTGCGGCTTATTTTAAAAGGGGCAAATCCAGCATCATATATGGTCTTGCGACATTACTGATAGCTGACCCTGAACCAGACTACACAGAAAACCAAAGAAAAATATACACTTTGAAGGTCACATCTGCAGTGAAAATAAAAGCGAAACTTGATACAACTTCTAGATCACTCTAGGTACTATGGCTGCTCAATTATGGCAAAATCACAAGCAGAATTGTTTTGGTTAATATTGAGATTCTGATTACCTAATGATTGCTCACTGACTTTGAAAATATCATGCATTTATTGAACTTTTGAAAAAACGTTTCCTTTTAACAGTGGATTTCTCTAAATTCTATAAATCAACTGAAAAACGAGAGAGGGTCGGAAAGGGGTGCACTGGATTTATAACTAAATGGGAAAGTTACTGCAAAATGCAGCACAAAAATCTTTTCTCTATCATTTTGTTTCGATAATTGTTGGAAGCCAAAATTGCAATTTAAATTAAAATCTGCCCAGCCCTACTAGGTACTATATCACTACAAGTGTGCCGCATGCTAATTTAGTCTCACTAGTACTAGAGTAGGGTAGAGTAGGGTCTCTCAGTGGGCCTGGGAGTGCCAGCGTTTCCCCCAGAGGTGGCGGCTATGGAGCGAGGTCTGGGCATCTCTGCAAAGACAGCTGCCCGTGCAACCCAGACCTGGGTAACAGCAGAGGATGGGTGGATGGATGGGTGGGTGGGTAACAGGTCTGGTTAGCCACTGCGACAGCGGGTGTGAAAGTGACTTCTACATACAATTACAGACAAATCTAGTGTCTCTCAGCCCAGTCCTTGGAGACCCCAACCCCCGACAGTTCACTTTTCTTGCTCCCTCCCAGCAGACCTGTACCAGGTATTCAGTGTTTGTGATTGGCTGGGAGCTGGCAGGGATCATAAATGTGGATTGTTTGGGGGTCCTCAAAGACCGGGTTAATAACCACCGGACTAATCTATCCAACACTGCACCATTAATACATATGCAGTGAGCATGACGTGAAACAAAGTGAAAGTACCTTAACTGTGGGCAAAAGATTCAAAATTTAAGACTTCTTCAGCAACAAGAACAGAAATAATCCAAACAGTTTTATATTTGCTCCAATGTGTACTTTAGAAAAGAAAACACTCTCGAGAGGTAATGACAGATGTTAATTTCACAAGAATCTGCCTAAAACAACTGTCACAATACAGGTCATCCGCATTTGTATAACAATGAAAATCAATGTAAACCAGATGCATAATTCTTCTGCCAAGTCTTTTGAAAAAACTGCTCATTACACAAAGCCACACAACAATGTCACTAAATGCAATGTTTGGGAATAAATAGCAGTGCTTGGTAGTAGGACCAAGAATTTGTATCTCAGTATTTAAAATTCTGGCAGTTTCATATCACGGTATTTTTTTGTTCCCCAAGTTCACCCCTACCATGACAATAAGCGTTTACATCAATAGAAAACATTCACAAATGCTTTTAAAGGGATGTTGAAGTAATTATTAGGCCTATAAAAATGTTTAGGCTACAATAATCTTTAATAGCTTAATAGTACTTCTGACATTTTATTAATGTATATTTAGCTAGAAAGTGACATGTTTCATTGATTATAACCATACATTTAGCTCCAGAGACATGCTTTATTGATTACCACTGAATATTTAACTTGGTAAATATTCACTTAACTGCCATGATTTTAATACTACCGTGGTAAATCGATAATTATGGATTTTGTTTTACCGATATGCATTTAATTGTAGATGTAATATTACACGCAATACAAATTCAGGCACCAACTGAAGCAGCAGCTATAAATACTATAATGCTACACAGTTAATATATATATGGAGAACTGTTGTGTTATAAAGTCATAACTAGTAGTAAGAAGGGTCCCCTCTCAATACACTCTGTACAGTGATCTACAGCACTTCTACCAGAGAAAAATATGATTAATTTGCTGCCTATTTAAGTGCTACAGCTGTTTAATCAGTCCTGCTCTAATGCATTCCAGAGAAACCTTCTGTTAACTAAAATTGCATACTGAAATACACATATCGAAGATAAGAAATAATAGTACATTAATAAATTAAATAATAAAAATCTCCTGTGGGTCTTATGAGTATTGCTAGAATTGCCTAATGACCACTTCGACCAAACGTGCCGAACTCGCCGACTTGTTGATTGCCGAGAGCTGGGAGTAGTGAGCCACAGCAGCCATCAGCACAGCACAAATACAGTGGATCACGGTATGAAGAGGGTCACTGAAGACAACATGGCCACAGACAGTTACAAATAGCAGATGTAGGTGATTTTAAAAAGGCTGCTGTGTGTTTTTATACTATGATTTGTCAAATATTTTTAGAATGTAAGATTTTGACCTGTGTAATGTGTGATTCTTTTAGATTTGAAAATCGGTTCAACAGATTCACGGAAAAGAACCGGCCCAAATGAACAATTCGTTAATGAATCAGACATCGCTATCATTCACTTGGATAGTGGTTTTTGCATGCAAGTAGTGTTTCTGAGACCATATTGTGTTGTACTGTGCATAGTGCTTTTTTCCAACTGAAAATCACACAAATACAAATGCAATTCTGTAGTGGACTTGGGTACTAATATATCAGGTGCGTTAGAAAAGATTTACGTTGTGATCACACACTGTTGCAGGACTGACTGTAAATGAAAAATCCGTGCCATAAGGGAAATGAAAACCAACCTACTACTTCAGTATTATAGCGCAGCTGAATGGAATGAATGCATAAGGCAAACAGCATGTGAACAGCAAAGAAGCATCTTTACAGTTTTTCCGTCACTGTCTCTCTCCAAACTCGGCAACACCTTGGCTAAGCACACCCTTCTGCAGTGGAAAACTGAATTAAGCTGGAACCGCGCTCTCTCTGCGGTATGGCTCAGGTACAGGTCGATTTCTGTATTCCAGTGGAAATGCATCGTAAGTGTGCCGAAATCAAAAAGTGACATTGAAAAAAAACTATTCTGGGGGTTGTGCATCATGCCATTCTGTACAGAAAATTTATCCTGTCCTTTTTTGGTTTGTAATGCACAGCGTCAACGGACATAATTTAGTTTTGCATTTTATACTGTCATCACAATTTTGCCATTGACTTCAAACTCTGGACTCCTGGCAGGCTTTTAAGAGCAATTATCTGAAGTCGACATGTATAGCCATATAGTTTTCAAAATAACGAGGTCAGGTACATTATCGGTGCTACAATAGACACCACAGCAAGTCCGCAATCCCGTGGCTGATATCTGTATTGGACGCACAAATGACATGCTCAGCAAATGAGATATGCAAGCCTTCCTGATGCTTTTCTAGCCCTACACAAATAACAGTGGGCAAATAGACTGGCAAACAAATGCAGGTCAGTGTTGACTTTCACACATTACTTGCCAGAAAAAGTACCAAGCCAAGAAACTATGAACATTATACATAAAAGGTGAAAGGTGTTCGATTGCAGCACAAAAGTCAGACAAAAGTCTGTTTCAGGTTGAGGTGAGTTAGAGTACAAGAAAGAACGGACTGAACGGGTACCAACCTGCACAGTTAATATTAAATGGGAACACGCTTGCCAGAATCCTGTAAGCTGCTGGTTAATCAGAATGAAGTGCTTTGCTGCCTCCAGAGAAATACTGGACACACTGCATATTACATTACATAAAATTATTTCATTAAGAGACAGTGGTGGTACAGGGACACTGCAGTGATGACCATTCATCCTCATTTGTAGTATCTTTGAAGACCACGTGGCTTTCTTCCTAGAAAAATAAAAGTTTTCCACATCGCAAGGCCACACGAAGGAAACAAGCTGGTGGAGGATCGCAGAGGAAACTGCGTTCCCCGCAGGGGGCTAAGGACCCAGGCCTCACCCCCCATGTTTGCAAAGGAATGCCTGGAATCAAATCAAACTTTGGAAGAGCAGAACAGCATCTCTCAAGGTACTCTGGGGCCCTGTATTCTACATACGAATGTGACTTTGGATCTTTAAAATAAAATTCACCAGGTCTCTTACCTAGGACAAAAAAAAGAGTAATACATGCAAAAAAAAAAAAGGTTGGGTTGAGGGTAATGTACTAAAAGTTCTAGAAACTGACAGTGAAATATCAAGAGGTATAAAAAAATGTACAGGGAAATAATATGAGCCTTATAGGGTACCTTGAACTATTTTTTAATGCTTTGCTATTGTAAGTTATACAATTTTAGATTGGTAAGATGAAGATGCTAATGTGCAGTGACAAGTGATGGAAGCCCATACATGCCAAGCATGAGGCAAGTACTGAAGAACACAGAAGTGTACACACACACACACACACGTGAAAGAGGAAATTATCATAATTCAGTATTATAAAAGACATGAGAACAGAGGAAGGGGGCTACAAGGTGAGAAGCAGCACAGAGCACAAGGCAGGGGAAGACTTAGGACAGGATGCCAGTCCAGGACAAGGGACACACACTCGTTATGGGAAACTGAATCGCCAGTTCACTCAAATGCATTGCCTCAAACTGCAGGAGGAAAGCAAACTCTGAAAGGAATGGACTGACATCAAATACAAAACAGATCTGCATGACAGAACATTTTCAACAAAATTAGTAATTTAAAAACCATACTGGAGCATTAAGGTCAGACTAGTCAATAAAGTCACCATTGCCTCCACACAAAAAAAAAGTTACCAAATCAGTACATATATTCGTTCTACAAATGGTCTTTATGAAGATTGCGTTACACCGTTAAGGATTGTTAATGTCCTTAGGGGGAAAACAAACAGGATTGTACCCAATAATAAACCAGTGGAGGGTCTAGCATCAGAGTGTAATATCTGAATGAACCAAATCATAATTTAGCTACTTTGCAGTGATACTTGTCTTACATGTGCAAACACACAGAATGGCAACGGTTAGTGTTGCGCAATTAAACAAGCCTAAACATCCTCGGATACGATTCCAAGAATCACTAAATCTACGTGCATCTGACGATTACAACTATATGAGGCCAATTTGTCGTTAAAGGGCATGAGAGATTATTCAGCGTAACAAGTAGCCCGTTTTCGGGTCAGACTCCAGGCTAACACTAGGAGAGGGGCGGTGCCCCCCTCGTCACTTGGCACAGGGCGAAGCATTTCAACGCGCTGTTTCGTCTGGTACAATTTCATTTGCTTATTTTTTAGGTTTCTAGCGTTGCACAAAACCCACGGCTTGGACGTGAAAAGTCCTCAGCTTCCCGTTTCGCCAAACAGCTCGGCGCGATTCGGCACATGATTTCTGGTCAAATATTCGCCCAGCAAGCTAGTGCAGCCAGGCTCCACGGCCAAAAATGTCAACACGAATACATCTTCCCATAAACAACTCAACATGAAAAACTTGTCTAACCTTAAAAACTTTACTACAACCACCTGCACGCCAAGTTGCCTCCGGCTGATCGACCCACAGAGGCACCGCATTAAAAACCCAGGGGTCAATGCTTGAACGGGGCGTCGAAAGCCAGGACTACCCTTAGCCCATCGTTAGTATAAAACAAACTCCGGATCTTAACTTCCACCTACACCATATCGCCCTGCCTAAAAAGTGACGCCTAACTTCCCTCCGGCAGCAGCGAGCCCTCCCGTGCCATGTCCAAGTCGGGCGAATGAAACCGAGCCCGCCGTAGACTAAACCGAAGCAGCGAAAATATTTGACTCAACCACCAATAAATGCGACAGACCAGTCCCGATGTGTCCTTTGGCCTTTCTGCGGAAGCGTATGAATGGGCTTCGGAGAGGTAAAGACCTCCCCCGTTCTGTAAAAACACCAACCCGCAGCAGTAGCCGCCGCTCACCTTGTGATATACTAAAGAGTAAACATTTTGGCTTACACGGTCCGGCGTTATTTGACCGTGTTATTCCCCCCCCCACCCCACCCCACCCCGATCGTGACAACGACGAGTGTCACGATCGGGGGAAATGGGGACGGTGAAATGACGCTGGCTGGAGCCGGACAGATAACCAGGCCTGCCATCGCAAGAATAAAACTCGCGGCAATAAGAAACACATGCAGGCAAAATAGCTCTCATGTGACAAAAATGTGTCTGTCATCTATTCCCCGGACGTTGCTGGACAAATTAAGCTGTTAAGGCGAGCGCTGTTATGTAGCGTCCCGATAAAATCTCTAGTTAAGTCATATGAATGGGCAGTGCTGGCTGGGCCTGCGCCATGCTGCTCCTGCCGACGAGTCCAACGCACGAGCGCACTGTTCAGGGAAAATCTCAAGCTTACAACATAACTACGAGAAAATAGTGCTTCGTAGCTAGTGAGTCACACTCCCATACTCGACAGCTGTCTTCAAACAGTGGTGTTTATTATCGTTAAACGGGCGCGAAAACGACTTATCTACTAAATTAGAGAGTTTTACCTGATTACTCTGAGAAGCCATGCTCCCGGTGACTTTCCGTTCCTACTCGAATTAAAATGCACCGTCCTTCTCGGCGAAACACTAAAATATTTTTATTACTTTCACAGTCGCACGGCTTAGTGCGAGGCCGCATTCATTTTTCCCATTTTTCCCTCGGCCGTTAGCACTTCAGCTGCCTTCTTCTCTCGTACATCACGCCGACTCCCCCACCACTACCACCGCCGCCATCTTGGTATAGCCACGCTCATAACCTGCGCGCGCTTAGCAGCGCGCTCTCCAATGAGCGCGTGCGCCGCTTCCGCCTCTGTGCACGAGATCCAACTTCCCCAGCGCGTGAAATGAGAGGCTGGTGGGGAACTATCCGGGGGACTGATAGTGCTCTATAAAATTAACAAAATGAGAAACTTTCATTGAACTTTAAAGTAATTGTTTGTTGAAAGCAGTTTAGCCTTTAGATAACAAATTTTCATTTCTAAAAAACTTTACATTGGAAGGAGATGGAGAAACTACATAAGATTTTACAACATGAATGCACAAGCAATGCAATGGTTTAATGAATTATGTAACAACGCCTCATTGCACAAGTATTTTTTTGTAAGTTTGACTCAGTGGAATAATTAAAATATATAGAAATCATGACAGATATATTAGTTTCATTTTAAAGCATGCAACAAGGAATGCATGACACACCAAAAGTAGGGCGGAGTTGCTTGCCAATAGGTGAGGAAAACGATCAGGTATGAAAGAGACTCTCGAACAAAATCTTCGTAGTAGGACGACAAATCAAAACCCAAAGGCGAATACGCAGGTAATTTCTGCTTTCTTAATGTGAGCCGTAATTTAGAGAAACATGGTTTATGTTCTAAAGGGTATTCGTGTGGATTTATCGTATTCTGGTTCTTTTATAATTTTTTTTTTTTTGAAAGATGGTCGTATTGTTGGTAGATGAAATTTAAAGTTAACTAAATCACAGCCATCTTCGGGAATGTAGTAAAGGAGTAATAGCGATTTGTGGTGTTTGAAGGGGATAGTTTTAGTATATTTAGTTTCTGCCTGAATTATCGCTTCCACATATCTTAGCTCAGGATGGTAGTGGGTTGTGGTTGTTTTTAAGCAGGGTTTCTTTAAACAACGGTGTATTTAATAAATCTGGAGGTAAGATGCCTTAAAATGGATCGGGGCTGTATTCTCACTCGGTTTATTACGTGATGCACTTCTAACAATCGTGTACTTGTTTCCATGAATTCAAAGTCAGTGCTTCTTCATGCTCCCCTCTGTGTTCCAGTGAAAGACACCTTGATAGCATGCCAGTACAGCATTATGAGAGGGAGGCGTGTCCCCCCCGGGATGGACAGAGGGCTCCGGAGCGCTACAGGAATGGGAGGCACTCGGACTCCGAGCGAAGTAGTTACGTCGATAGGCGGAAAGACCCGATTGTCCCTTCTAGCCGAGACAGCTCCTATCAAACACGTCAAAATTCGTAAGGGAGTGTTCTGTATACTGCTGTTTTGGTATTTCTGTTGTAGACCACTTGGTCACGAATATAAGATCGGGATAAAGGCAGTTGTATTTGTTCTTTTGTTATCTACTCATTTTTATTTTAGGTACAAAATGGAAATGGATCAGTATGAGACAGAGCCAAGACAAGCTCTCTACAACCTCAGATACTTTTGCACGTCAAGAGGTGAGCGTACTGTCCCTGTCAGACATGATTCACAAGTTATGGTTTTAGTAATACCCACAAGTTCATGCACTTTAGGTTGTGTGTTTTAGACTTTTACTTGTATTGCCTTCATTTCTGATTGGTTACATTAACGGTTTACTTTAAAGTTCAGAAGTCTGCTAGAACAGATGCGATTAAACATGCACAAAGTAACCTCCGTGTCTGGCGAGTTCCTGGAAGTAGTCTGGGGGACAATAGGAGATGGAATGCGGCCGTGCGGGTTTGTGAAGAGGGCGGTCATGTGACCTGGCCTCAGTTTATCCACTGACGTCAAATGTGGGTTGGGGGGGGTCACAGACAATTTCGAAGAGTTTACAGGCAAAAGACACAGACGCTTCAGGATGAGTTGGCACATCTCAGTCATTCTCAGTGTGGTGATGTGAAAAAAGGGACGAAATAGGGAATAACTACATAAGGTGAACCTCAGGCTTGGGAACAAACATGTCAAGCCCCGCCCTCTCGCAACAGCATAGCAGGACGGCATAACAGATACCACAGGAGCTAGCGATACTAGAAGAAGTTTAACGGGGTGGCTGCAGAAGTCTGGTGAAACAGGAATTGCCCAAGCTGTACTGGCATATTGGTATGTGTTTAGCTTTGAGTTTGTCAGACCTGATATTCCTAGGCGTGACCCTTCTTCAGTCCCCACATGGATCATCAGGGCTGTGCATACTTAGATGGGACTTCCACCTGAAAAACACACATCAGCATGCACTGATCATCCCACGCATTGTTCTCGTTTGAAAAGCGGCAAGCTTTTTTAGATCTCTTTATAAAAGGCCCCTTGTCCTTGATCAGATGACGTCTTCTTCTTGAAATGAAACCTTCCCGGGTTCTCTTTAGTTTCCTAGTACGGAGTTAAAGGTAAACTAATGTGAATCAGTTTAAGCCTTATTTGAGCATATCCCTCCTACAGCAAGCATGAGGAAGAACATAGAAAATGAGAAGATAGATGTGCTTCCCTCCTCTCTTTGCTCCCACATGTCAGTCTGTCTCTTAAACAGCTGGTCCACCAGCTTATTCCCACTTTATAGAATCTGCAGCTGAACTTCTTCTGTTGTCTCTGAAAAGTGCTGCGTATGTGGATGCGAATTATAAATATCAGCGACTGCAATAAGCAAATCTGCTTCTCAAGATAGAAATAGGAAGTAGATACTCCTGCTGTTTTGTTTTTTTTTAATTCCCTGACTTGAGTAATATGGCCAGAACCTTTTTATGACATAGTCTACTAATGTAATTGTTTTAGAATAAGAATGAACTTTTTTCAATCCCAGCGAGAAATTCCAGCGCATGCAGCGGTGAGTCTGTGACGCACAGACAAACGTGTTCAGTGCAAGAGACAAGGTGCATGACTGTGCATATAGTGCAAAGAAATAATAGAAATAATAGATAATAGTAATAATAGTAATAGAATCCTGAGAAACAGGATAATATAAAATATCAATGAAATAAATAAATACTAAGATGGGGAAAAGTATTAAATAAATAAATTAGTGAAGGTGACGGCCAATTAACCCCTCTGGGTGCATGTCCACTGAAGTCCTCTGTGTGTCTCTTATGCTGCTCTTACAGCTATATGCCAGATGATGGAGTGCTTTCTCAACATGCTGATCGTCATCTGTGCGGGGGTGTCCTATAACGCGTCCGGGGTCTACAGGGACCTGGCCAGCCTGGGAGGGATATACGCGTACTACTTCGGAGGCGCCAACGCTTTCACGGGTGCTGACGCTGACCGCATAAAGCTCCTGGACCAGCAGTTTTACCAGCTCAAGCTGCCCACATCTGTCAACACCATGGCGTGCGGCGGTGCCCTGATGGGCTACGCCTGCGTCATGCTGGTCCTGGGCATCTTTCGGATGCCATTCCGCTTCCCGGTCGTTCTACTGGTGGAGGCGCTGCTCAACGGCCTGATCAGCTTGGGCTACATTCCCGCCGTGGCGTTCTACTTCATCAAGCTGCAGGAGGTCTACGCTACGGACGTCTGCAAGCAGAGGGAGCAGATGTACAAGAGCAAAGGGCACCAAGGCTTCGACTGTCAGCTCCAAGGGGCGGATATCTGCGGGGGGCTCTTCGGGGTAGCGGGGGTCATCGCTTTCGCCTTTGGTGCCGTGCTGGCCGTCCGAGCTTTTATCGCAGTCCGGAAACGTAAATACACAGCCCCAGACGACCTTCGCATATAGGAGCTTAACTAATGTCCTGCTTAACCAGTCACCTTCACTCTCATTGTGCAGTAT